TTGTCAATTGCTTTTTTGAAGTCCATTGTCCTTTCTGCTGCTCTTACTCCTTTATTTCCTTAGAAACATGAAATCTCATTTCATGATCACTTTCATTGACATTGCTTTCCACCTTCATATTCACTATCTATTCCTCCCTGTTGATCAGAATCAAGTCTAAAATGGCTGTCCCCGGGTTACTTCCTCCACCTTCTGAAACAAAAAGCTGTCCCCAATACATTTCAAGGACTTGTTGGAAATTGTGTTTTGCCATATTACTTTTCCAAGAAATGTCGGGGTAATTAATCTACCATTACTACAGGTCCTGATGGTCTGTAGTAGACCTCTTATCATGAAATCACCCCTATTTTTCACCCCTTTTATCTTTATCCAGAGACTCAACGGTTGTGTCTCTCACCTCGTCCTGGACCTCAGAACAAGTGTATATACTGATGCATTATGCAACACCTCTTCCCTTTTTACACTGTCTATCCTTCCTGAACAAGTTATACCCAATTAAGTCATTTAGCTGATATGTGTAACCCAGTATTGAGGTGTGGCTGCAGCCTTCTCCCTTTTCCTCCTCAAGGGTATGGATCCTGGGTTCGCCTGTGAGAGTGCCTCCGGCCTCCACCCTAGGAAACCCCTCCTATTGTAGAGAACAGCCTGTGATTTGGGAAAATAATCACCCAATCTCACACAGAGCCGTGTCAACCAGAGCACAGTAAAATAAAATAGCTATTACAATTCCCAGAGTAATAAAACCATAACCTGGGTTTTAGTAAGTATGGAGAACTCAGGACAGAGAAAAATGGAAAAGCAGATTAGGAGAATAAAAGACAAAAACAATACATAGTTTGTAGTTCTTGCAACACTTACAAACCCACCCTGTGCTCCCTTTCAGCACCTCCTCAGACAAATAATGAATTTAGGCTCAGTCTTTGATCGGTGGGTAACACTGAAATTGGTGGCTGTCTTAAAACACAATATCAAATAAATACAGGGGTTTTCTGACAAGGTCTCCACACCAACGATTGGAAGATCATCTTTGCAGTTCTCTGGTCTGGATTCAAATGTGTGGTTAGGCTGGCTCTTGGTAGCCTGACTGTGGCTCTCTTCTCAGTCTCCTAGGTTTCTGGTCTTGGCAGAGATGACACTGTCCAATGTCCCAGAAATCCTCAAAGGGCTCAGTTTTCACTGGGGTAGGAATGTCCTGCCTGGCTGTGCTCACTCCAAACACAATGAAAACTCAAAGTAAAACCAAACAGTTTGTCTCGGAGTTCTGGTTTATTATTGCTTCTGGTAGTGTTGCAAGCTAGTTCTATCTGTGAAATCGAGTCCTGAACCTCTCTTGTTGTTGTTTCTGTAGTCATGGGGGAGTCCCCTAGAAATTCAGTGTGGTATTTCAGGAGCACCCTCTCTAAAGGGGTTACATGTACTAATACTTCCAGTTCTTAGTGTTTATTCCCCATAGCCCTTGAATTGGTGTATAGACATTTCCAGTGGTGAGTGAATTCACCCACTCATTTCCCTCTTTTATGACCCTATTGTAATTAGTATGTAAAGCACTTGCTGATTAAATTCCACCTCCATAGAAAACACAGCTGCCAAAATAATTTTTCTTGCCTACCACTTGGCTCAAGTCATTTCTCTTTTCAGATCCCTTTACTGACTACCCATCATCTTATTAATTTCGCTCCTGAACCTCACCTTCATGGCCATGTATAACTTCACTCTACACTTGTATCTTTAGTCTTGTTTCCAGCTACTTCCCCTCAAAGCCCCTTTGCAGTTCCTAAGCCTGACATTTTTCTGTTCACTGAGGGCCCAATACTGTTAATCTTTCTCAGTTTGAGTGGCATTTTATTTGGCCAGTAGTGCTGTTGAGTTCAGTGGACCTGCTCTCAAAATAAAGTACTTCAACACCAAGAAGGGTGGCTGAATTGCTTGCTTAGGTTTGAAGAGGGTGGAAGAAGAAAACTTTCTTCATGCCAACCAATGTGCTTGGAACAACCTCTATGTGCCAACTGATTACACGCTCTCTCCATTCAAATCTTACCTCAGAACTTTACTCCTTTCAGGAGACTTATCAATTCTAATCTTACATTGGTTGCAAGTTGAATATCTCACTGGTTACTGTTTGTTTTTTTTTTTTAATAAAATGTGAGGAAACAAATTCTGCCTCTCACGCAATACAGGTAATTCTGCCTCTCACGCAATGTCAAGGTATGTTTTTCCACCTTCTCTTGTGTCCACTGTTTTATCTTCATGTTATTGTCTTATTTCTGGCATAGGTTTAAAGGTTAGTATCCATGTCTCTCTATTTTTGTGGGTCATGCGCACCTATGATATCTGAAATAAATAATAATGGCTGTAAGATGTTACTTTAGTGTATATTTTAATACAGAAAACTTGATGTAAGTAGGTTCAGTTCTGTTGATGTCAGCGGGGTTGGACCCACTTACGCCTGGTCTGAATTTGGTTCATTTTGTTTAAAACTTTAAGAAACCTTGGTAGTTGACAGAGTACAGACATTAGCCCATGACTGATCATCAAAAGACTAGATATCTGACAAATAGCCTAACGACTAAGACATTCTTTTAGTTGAAAATAAATACTATATCTTGGTCCTCTTCTGGATGCAGTGGGACCAAAATAACAGTGGAACCAAGACAAATCTATTCTGCAGGGGAGGGACCAGAATACTGGGAGCCTGCACAGAGCCTGAGTATTTCCTGTGTACCAAAGGCCCTGGCTCTGTCGGGGTTCTCCTTGGGTTGGAAGATTCATCACTGCTTGTTTCCACAGGCTCATGCCCGCAGCAGAGAACACAAGCATCCTATAGTCTACTCCATCCTGAGTTGAGGAATCCTTTCTTCCACACCACACCCTGTGCTCATGGAGAATCCCAGTGCTTAGCCCAGTTTCTCATCTTATTTTGCATTTTTCTTTTTCCTGTTTGTGAGCCGTTAATATTGCTGTATTGCCATTTCTAGGGGAGTGATATCAGTACAATTGTTAATCATGCTACAAAGTTTGTTTTGCAACATTCCTTTCAACTTTAATTACTAATAATTTGGAATCAAATAATTGTGCTATAAATAATGGTTGTCATTCCTGCAAGTAAGGTTTGGCTGAAAACATTATTAAAGTACAAATATACTGCTTAATAGAGTAAAGCATAAAATAAGCTCACACAGAATATTAAGTACTATGCCTTTACAAATCAAGACAAAATAAATTGATGTTCAGTCAAGCTGTGAATGAAGTTTTTAAAGTGCCATTCTGTCAAGGTAGCATGAAAAATCTGTTTTCAGTGACTAGACTCAAGATCTCATTTTTCACATTGTGCTTCCAAATATTAACTATTAACCTAAAATCAATCAATCATGCCATGCCAAAATATTTGTCATCACAGGTAAAATTTTTTAGAAATTTGAATAAACTTGTTTTATAAAATAGGTTTTAACTCTGAGGTTTGTTTTTAATCCATAAAAAATATAAATTCCATTATTAATGGCCTGGCTTAGAATATGATTTCATTCTGCAGGTCCAATTAATAGGGAAATATTTGTTCTGATCACTTTTATTTTTACTAATTTAGGCCTTGTTGTGGAGTGGGGATAGAGGTAGGTCAAAGATCCCTGCAGCCTACATTGCACATTTGGCAGCTGTCCCCAGCTCAACCACAGCATTAAGGATACTTGTCAGGAAGCAGGGTAGTGCACATCTGATAACATATGATGCACTGCTAATTGCAGCTCTAACACAGTGGCTCTTTCCATCGCTGGCTGTCGTGTGCTGCCTGCACTGTTGCTTAAAAGCAAGGTAGAAGGCTGAGGCATGCAAGCAGGATGCGTACATTTACTGGACCCTTTCAGGAGGGAAAGCTGTATGTGGCATCTATCTCCTGTCATTGGGGAGGGAAACGTCAATCTCCTTTTGCAAGAGTAGTGCCAAGCATTTTAGGAGTGATAGGGTGGTAAATGGAAAGCAGTGGAGAGACAAAGATTGGGAGAGAAGGAATGCAGAGCAAAGTACCAAAAAAGGGTTGATGGATGAAATTAGATGAATGGGGGACAAGGAATAAAAAAAAAAGAAAAAAGTGGTAGTGCTCTGCCCACAATCCAAAGTCTATTCACTTATTACACAAAAATGAGAATCAAGATATTAAGCACTAGAATAGAAAATGGGAAGACATGGTAAAGAGAGGGAGCAACAAAGGCAAAAATAGATAGTACATTTTTTTTATCTTATATAACTGTTGGTGCCAAAATATGTCAAAAAAACAAAAATAAATTTTGTTGTCAGGAATCAAGTAACATAAGTGTGTGAGGATGATCTGATAAATCTGTTTTATTTGCAAGATGAGCATAAGAGCTGTGTTCCTAAATATGGGAGAGGGCATAGAACTACCTTGATAGGGAAAAATAGTTTTGGTTAGGAATAAAATATTTTTATATATCATTGCATTAGTGACGCTGTCTTTTTGCATGTTTATATCTGTGTAAGTGTGTCTGATGGGAACAGTACAAGTGTGTTTGAAGTTTTGTATCTTTGGTATATCTTTGCCTCATTTAGTTCAAATCTGATCTTGGTGTGGCATGGTAGTCCCTGATAAAAAGGCTGTGTTCTAGAGACACCTAATTTGTTTTCATGTGGGAGGCAGAACGTTTGATGAACCTGAGCCTCAGTTAGTCTACATTCATTGGTGAATATCAAAAAGCTCAGAAATGAGATGTCTGCCTTTAAGAACTACATATGTAATATTAGATATTTTAGAGTATATAAAACAAATTTAGTCATTTTCTACTTCTGCAACCAGCAGACTGGAAATCAGACTCATCCCAATTTTTTTAAGGCAATACACAATATCAATAGATGTATTAAGGATGAGTTCCATAGAAATAGCTATAAAAAATTGTAATGGAAAATAAATGTCTACAACTTAGTCATATTTGAGTCCTGAATCTGCAGATAACTTCCTTCCAAAATTTTTACAGATTAAACTATTTTTGCAGGTAACTTAACTTCACTGACAGCATTGAATCTAAGGCATTGCCCTCTGGAGTTTCCACCTAAAGATGTTGTACAGAGAGGACTGCAGTCCATTCTGTGCTTTCTCCGGAATGTTGGTAATAGAAAACTTGTCAATTTAGAGCCAGATACTCAAGGTATGTAGGACAATTTATGAATATTTATTAAAATTGTAATTAGTTGTTTTTCAAAAAAAGTGACTAAAACAATGCATTCCCTGTATAGCTTTGTGTCAGTAGTACCATCAACTCTTGAATAAAAAAAGTTGGACAAGTCCTGATATATAAATAGAAACAGAAATGTATTATGATGTTTTTAAAACATATTTTAGGGTCTTGACGTTGCAAAAAAGGATCTCTACTTTTATGTGGTAAGAGAGAAATCCAGGGAAGGGACTTAAAGATGTCTCATGTGGCTGGAGCAACAGGAGTGGAAGATGTCTTCAAAAAAGGCAGCTCTGATAATAGAGGAGACATGAGAACAGGGACGGCTGGACACATGCATTAATCAACATGAAAAATGACTAACATATACAAGATTTTTTAGCAAGGGAGGTAGAAAGAAAAAGCCAGATTGTGATGATATTTAAAGAGTAGTAGTAACAGGTCTTGGTGAGAAACTGACTATCAGGACAGAGATTATATACTAAGGTTGAGACCCTCAGAGATGGTAAGGATAGTAGAGTTTCCAAGAGACAGAGGAGAGGAAATATAGGACTAATCATAACAAATCCCACAAGTGTTTTATGGTCCTCTTTCTGATAGTGGCCAGGTATGTCAGAGAATGGTCTGAGAAATCCCATAATAAACAATTATGGAATAACTTGCTCATAGGACAGATTTCTTTAACCCCAGGCAATTAGTGGTTAGCATATGTCCTAAAGCATAAAGGATTATATTGCTTATAAATATTTATCCTATTAATGTAACTGGATGTTCCTATCAGGAGAAATAAAAAGTTGAATTTTAGAAATGTTGAGTTCAGAATGGTGTTTGAACATCCAAAAATATGTCTGAGCTGCATTAAGAGATGCAGAATAGACATAGGGAGAGGGATCAGGGATAAAGAGGTAGATTTGGGAATCATTCACATAGGTGACAGTTGAAACTGTGGTAATAGATGAAGTCAGCAAGAGTAAGGAGACAAAGGGACAGAAATCTGAAAGACACCAAGGGGAGCAGAGAGTGTGAAGAATCACTGAAGGAGATATTGCCATGTTTGTTTTAGTGACCACAAGTGTTCAGGATCTATGTTTTACATCTCAGGTGGTAGACTATATCTCTAGCAGCACTATGCTCCATATCAATTTGCTGTGGAGCTGCTTCAGCACTGATCAGGAAAGAAAATATCATTACTGAATTGCCAGCACCACTTTCTGCATGCAATACCTCTGCCTAACCCTGCTGAGAATGGTCAAAAAGGAAATCTGTTTGCAACTGGATTATAGAATAGCTAATCTAAGTGTATTCAAGGATCCATACAGTGTTTGTATAAATTCCTATAACAAATATAAACTATTTTTTCAAAAATCATTGTAGATCTATTTGAAGCAAACTTTTCTGAAGATTTCATTACATTAAAAGACCAAAATAAACTAGTGTTCTTTCAAGTAAAGGGACTATATTGTTTTATATGATACTGTGCATACTTATTTAAACCTTTGGACTAAATTCTTTCCACATTAATGTACATTTTAGTGTAAAATACACAAAATGCATTTACTTATGTTTTTATGTTATCAACACTAAGAATTTTAGGTTAGGTATTATCAGTATTATGCTGTTCTGTAACACCTAGCTAATTTACTAGCAACAGGTAGTTACTTTTGTGCTGACTGTAGACAGATGCAAATACCTTATTAGAGAGACTAAGTAACATAGTGGATTAGTGAATTAAACTGACTTGTCTGGAGGGCTGAGTTCTCAAATCTTGGATTAGGCTTTGAGTCAGTGAGTTTTGGTAGCCTCGTCCAATTTATCTACATCACGAACCCAATCCACAATCTGGCACATTTTTTAGTATCTACTCAAGACAGGATTATACTAGAACAAAAGAGTTATTGTAGGTCAAGGATGAGATTAATTCAAAAATCTGTTTGAAGAAGTGAGCCCAGCACCTGCCTGCACAATGTGCTCCTTATGCCTGCCTCAAAGTTACTCTGTTCTGATCATTTTTGAAAATTAACAGTCTTCTAGAAAATGCATGTCTTCTATATTACCCCCCCCCATACTATTTGCCATATGTCAGTATTCTAGATTGCAAATAGAGAAGACCATTTAGGATGCAAGATTGCTCCTTTATAATATATTCTCTAGTCTTTTGTCTAGTCTAAGTTTAGACTTTAATATAGTAGACTATGCACATACTTTCAAGTTCTATATTTCACAGAATTGCCTTCTATGCTACAAGAAGAAGCAAAGGCCATTGTTAAAGAGTACAAGAGAGAGTCAAAGAGATACCCAGCTCTTAGGAAAGCATTCACTGGTCCATGGAGACAGATGAGCTTCATTAGTGAGTTTAGCAGAATGTTTGTTAGAGGAAGATAACTTTTTATGTTTTATAGGAACATACTAACAATTGCATACATTTGTATACATACATTGTAGTGTCCACAGAACGTGTAATCTCAAAATATATTATTGAGTCTTGCTATTAAAGTTTAATAATGTAGCATATCAAATTTCATATTTAAATTTCTGAAATCAAATTGAAAAAATAGTTTGTATAGATTACATTTGTGCTTAATATACCTGCGATCTATGGCTATCTTGTAAATGGGTGTGTACTTAGCATTTCCATCAACAGCATGATCCTTTGTAGAGCTGAAATGGGGAAAGGAAGTTTAGGTGCAGGAAAGAAAAAACAAATACTTACCCTTAATTTTGAACCAGAATTTATGTCCCATGTAAGATATTCAAAAAATGATGCCTGTTATAGATTTTGGAAGTAATTGGGTAATAAGTCCTTTCCATTTCTGAAATATATTAGAAAGCCTTTGTTTAAATGGAATTGGGCTTTTTACAGTTTTCAATGGACCTTATAATAAGAAATAAATTTGATCATGAAAAATAGAAGCAAAACAATCTGTTCAAGAAGATAGAACAATTCTTTCTAATAATGAACTCTTATTTATTCTGAAAAGTACATTTGCCTTTGAGAATTATTTGCATTATCTTGAATAAGTAGTTTAAAATAGCCATGGAATCATCTTTTCTGTTAAGTAGAAGGAATAAAACTCCTAAATCCTTGATAATATGTCCCGTAGAGAGGACTATTTGGTAAATCTTATTCAGCATCTGTTAAAATTCAATTTTTGATATCACTACTAAGAATTAAATAAAGGACTGATCTTTTGTTTGTAAAAAGTCCATATTCTGTAGATAGACTCTTTTGGCTTTACTCTGTGCAGAAGAACTTGTAATGTTTCTGATAATCACTTTTGCATAATCAGCTATAACAAATAGTGAGAATAAAATCAATGAATATCAGATTTTATCTAAAAATCACTCCATGAGGTAATTTTGATACATATCTAGTAACAAGTAAATGTTTAGTTTAGAAATCACCACAATTGTTTCCAACAATCATTTGATTGTGTGTTTGTTGCAATATGGACTACTATACTTATTTTTTCCTGAGATCCCTGTAAATGTTTGTTATACATTAAAATGTAAGCCAAATAAATTATATTTTTAAAATGCTATAGTGTCTCTTTTCTTGTCTAATTTCTTTCTTTGGTACATACATGATTTTGAAAATCTTAGATTGTTTTTCTGCCACTATATAACTACATAAAAAGGTAGCCTTGCATGCTATTTATTTTCTATTTCATTCAAAGACAGTATATTTTAACTACAAAATAATTATAAAATGTATATGGGAACAGCTTAATAACTCAAGCTACTGCAATATCATACTATTCTACTTTAGATACTGTTATAATTAAGGAAAAATACTCCCAATAGACTTTCATTTTCAGAATAGACTTTGTGGGCATGCCACATTTGGGAACCTTCTGTAATATTCAAGAGTTTTCTGCTCCCTCCCACATAGCCCATCTGTTCATGCTGGATGAACAGTATGTAAGAGGTAGTATATATACACTTCATGCAGCGAATATAATAGAATGTGCTATGGGAGAATGCATTTCCTCTAAAACTTGAGGAGAAGAGAGAGATGAAATATAGCTGTTTAGTTCTCTGGGATTCAAGGAACCTCCAACTCTTCAGCTACTGCCAAACCAAACCTTAATGCATCTTAGTCCTGACATGTAAATATAAAAGATATTCAAGTTGTGTGTGTGTGTATATATAGACAAATGTACATAATAGAATAATTTGAGACGGGCTTTTTTTTTTACTGGGGTACCACAGAGATTTGAAACCCAGGCCTTCAGAGATTAGACTTCATGCATAACTTTTTTTTCCTTAATGTTATATTTCATAAAGATTTCAAGTTCATGTTGGCTATGTTAAAAGGTTTTTCCCAACTGGACTAACAGATTTGCACCTCGGCATTTATTCCATGCTATGTATCTTAGTGCTTAGCATTTTTACTTTCTTCTGATATTTCTCTGGTACAAATATCTTACTTGCTGGTCATCATGCATAGAGTGTACATGCATTCATTTACTCTTTATTCATACATAGTTTATGTAGTATATATTTACACTAGCCAAAAAACTACGTTAAGAAAATATAAATACTGCATGGTTAACCACTAAGAAAGTGACAAATGCATTGCTTAAGTTAAGAGATGGGCCCATGACTGCACCCTAATGGCTAGAAGTCTTTGGCACCAGTTCCAGGGGCAAATTTCAGAATCCTGTGGCATAGTCTGAGAACATCCATACACCAACCTCACAGTATTTAAGGTGAGGTATGGTTATTAGCTCAGGTGTCCCAGCTGGTCTCAACTACAGCAAACTACGAGCAAAGGTGTCTTAGGCTCTGATTTAGCAGAACCCTTATTCATATGTTTAAATTCCATTGTCATCAGTGGGATTTAAACATGTGCTTAAAGTTAACCATGCACTTAAATGCTTTGCTGATTAGGGTGAAGTCACTTGCATTGAAGTTAAGCACATGCTTCCGTGCCTGGTTCATTGGGCCTTAGACAGCAAGTCAGATACAGCTTTATAGACCAAAAATTTACTTTTGAATTGTACCCAGAAGTGAATGGGAAGTGAGGTGCTGCTATTGGTAAACATGTTCCTATAGGTTGACTTCACTTAGCAGTTGAGCAGCTACATATACTACCTACACAGTACAGAGAATGCACCATGGTGAAAAGTTTAGATTTATTATTTTAGAGTTACTCTTTAGTGGCAGAGTGAAGAGACAATCTCAAAATAACAGACCTCACGTTTTTGTCATGTGTTAACTTTACCGTTATAGAAAAATGTTTCCATTCATTTTAATGCATTGTCTACTGCTCCTTGTTCAGATGGTTGTAGTTTACTAATGAAGGGGAAAAGCCAGAGTATGAGAACAACAAGCTACTCTTTCACATGTATAGACACATTCCTAAGGAGAAAAAAATAGAAATTTGCCAAACAAAATCTAGTAACTTCATTGGTCTGATAGATGAGTATATAGTAATCTCCTTTTTACTCCAATAGAAATGCCACCTGTTGAAAAGTTAAATTTAACTGAGTTGATGAAATCCAGTTTGGATTTGTCAGATGAGTGGCCGAATGAAGAAGAAATGCTACGATTTCAGAAGCTGAGGGAGGAAATGGTAAAAGATGAAAAGGAAGAATTTCTTGCTAACCAGGATTTAAATCCTAAAGCCACTATGCAGGAGTTTGCTGAGTTCAGAAAAAACGGCAGAAAGAAAGAGAGGCTCTACCACAAGTCAGCAACTCTTTCCAGGTGAAAGAAAGTATTATATATATTTTAATTTCATATAATGATAAACAGCATGGAATGCTATGTGTTGGGCAGGTGATGAATAACCAAACATCTAAGTGGAAAGATTTAAAAGCATTTTAACATACAGCCTGATTAAAAACACTCCATCTGTGCCCAGATGATGCGTTAGTGATGCTTAGAACAAAGAAAGAAAACAAAAAGGCCCTAAATAACTACATTCTTTCTAAAACTAGGAAACAGCAAGCGCTATCAACTTTGTAAACATGAGAAAGGAAAGATGACTGGTTGAAACTGCCATCCCCATGCAGATATAAAACTTTATCAATTCATATTTTAATAATTACACTTTTGGAAATGCTTTTGGAACATGCTTGACTGAAAGTAGTAAAATCTGTTAATGCACACTAGAGACTAGAAGACCCATTGCACTTTTAGCAGATAAGGCTATTGCATGATACAATGTAATTAGTTCATGTATTTTGCTAACTGATGCCTATGAAACTTCATAGTATGCTAGTAAATGAAAAATAGGGTGGTATTTTTGTAAAAGTAATGAACTTTAGGTAATAATCCCTCACTAGAGGACCTATTATTGATTCTATGCTGAAAAGGGGAAATATACTTGTTCACATTATTAAGTGTGTGGATTAGCAAATTTCTCCAGTATATATTTTCTCTTGAGTCACTATAGTGTTTTGTCAAAGTACAATATTATGGAACTGCAAATATATACTTTAAGTCTAAGAATTAGTAATAGTGAACATTCTTTGAATTTCAAAGTTTTGTTGAAATTAAAAATGAAATCAGGAACATTTTTTACTAAAGTTTTACCGTTATTCCCCGCCACCTGTTTTTGAGCAAACACAGAGCTGGGTTATTTTTAATTTAGTCTTTGAATGAAATTTCACATTTCAAAGAAAAATGGGGAGAAATTTTCACAACATTTTTTGTGAAAGTTTTCCCTCCCCGCAGCACTTTTATGATTAAACAAACTTTTGCCCCCTTTAGGCTGTGAAGATGCAATGTATATACTCTGCCTATGTAGAAACTAGACGCCTGTGGCTGGCACGTGCCAGCCGACTCAGCAGTTGGGGCTGTTTCATTGCTGTGTACACTTCCTGGCTTGGGCTGGAATCTAGGCTTTGGGACCTTCCCACCTTGCAGGGTCCTACAGTCCAGGCTTCAGCCCAAGCCTGGAAGTCTATACAGCAATGAAACAGCTTCACAGCCTGAGCCCCGCAAGCCCGAGTCTGCTGGCACAGGCCAGCTGCGGGTGTCTAGTTGCTGTGTAGACATACCCTTAATCAGTGGTTTTCAGCCAGGGGTACATGTACCCGTGGGGGTACACAGAAGTCTTCCAGAGGGTACATCAACTCATTTAGCTATTTGACTAGTTTTACAACAGGCTACATAAAAAGCACTCGCAAAGTCAGTACAAACTAAAATTTCATACGACAATGACTTATACTGCTCTATATACTACACACTGAAATGTAAGTACAGTATTTATATTCCCCAATTGATTTATAATTATATGGTAAACATAAGAAAGTAAGCACTTTCAGTAATAATGTGCTATAACACTTCTGTATTTTTATGTCTGATTTTGTAAGCAAATAGTTTAAGTGAGGTGAAACTTGGGGGTATGCAAGACAAATAAGACTCCTGAAAGGGGTACAGTAGTCTGGAAAGGTGGAGAGTCATTGCCCTAAATCCCTGATTTAGCAAGCTATTGAAACCATTTGGACTATTCATATGCTTAGACAGACACTTTGTTGAATCAGGGCCTAAATGTTGTTGGAATGTCAATGATCTATTGTGCCTATTAAAATAGTTTAGAAGGAAAAAAGCCTTGATTTCTGTGTTTTCTTATTCTCTGTTTGGCCAAGGATCAAACCCACACACATCTGCCTTGTGAATTTAGTTATCCCTAAGGGCCTTAGGAGTGTATGACACAAGTAACCGCCCAGGACGCCATGGTCAGTAGGGGTGAGTGCCGGCGAGCCAGCCTGGCAGAGAGGCGCAAGCCTCATTGTTCGCCTCTGCAGGCTCAGCGGGCCAGTCCCTGGGTCCCCCTTTTCCATGGGGCCGGTGGTCATGGGATGTATTGCTGGGCCAGCAGTTGCCACTTTCCAGCTGCCCAGCTCTGAAGCAGTGTTGCTGCCAGCAGCACGGACAGAGGTGGCAATACGCCATACCATGCCACCCTTACTTTTGCACTGCTGCTAGTCGCAGTGCTGTCTTCAGAGGTGGGTGCCCGGCCAGCAGCCACCACTGTCTGGCCATCTAGCAGGCACTTAATTTGTGCCAGTGCCTGCTGGTGCTGAACCCTGGCATCTCTTTCGTTACAAATTAAGCACATGGAGGAGCCCACAGGTGCCAGGGGCAATGAGGGTATCTGCCCAGGGAGCCTGCAAGGTGCCATTTTCCCTAAGGCCGGGCCTCGCTATCATTAATATTTTCACCTGCTTGCCCTTTCATGCAATATTTAATTAACTGTATCAAACTGCCTATTTTTAAAAAGGAAGAAGTTCTCACAGAAGAATACATTTTCTGAGTTTCAATCATATGATAAGATGATTCAAGCAAAACGAGCTGAAGAGTTCAGATTGGCTGTGCAAAAGGAACTGAAAGAGACGCAGGCTTTAATTGAACAGCACAGAAAGTAAGTTTTATGGTTATGTTGCTTAATGACAATGCTGTCTTTTTTAAGTTGTTGTTCAGCCGTTCTTAACACATTGTAACTTTTTTCCCCTTCACAAATCACCCATGTTACCATTTGTAATGAAAGAAAATCATTACAAATGATCTGGATTACGAATAGAAATGTAAGGGGTACTTTCCTTCACAAAGCACAGTGCTCCTAGGGGACAGGAGTGTGAACTATTGAATTTCTCATTGATTTCACTGGGGAAATGTGAGTTCTTGTTCCCATCTAGTGGGGAAAATGTTCCCTTTCACTATTCCTTACTTCATGTGATAGAAGTATTTAAATAACATTTTTTAATCTTTACTAATGGCAGAGTACTCAGATGCGGATTAGGGGTTAGCCCCTTTCCACCCCTTCTGCCTGAAGTCCCTCCCCCCCCCTTGTATTCCCCCCCCCCCCCCCGCATTCCTGCTAGGGAAATGGGGTCAGGGTGCGGGGACTTGCTCCGCCCAGTGCTTCTGCTAAGGAGCTAGGTCAGGATGCAGGGGCTTTGTAGCCTATAGGGCTAGCCTGTTTGCTTGCCTATGTTTTATTATAGGTTTATAATAGAGTATATGTTGGCTGTAATGCAAGGGAACTACAGGCCACATCCTGTACGTTGAGCTAAGGCAAGGTTAACACATATGTTTGAGAACTTTCACCTTATTATCTTCTGATCAGATTAATTAGCAAGTCTATAACCCATACTATCCAAATTAATATTAACCTCTGTGACAAAGCTCTAACCTTGTCTCAGTGGGTCCCATGCTTCCTGGTGGATTTCACTAACCTCAGAGGCTCACTGTGACCCTCCACATAGCCTCTCTCTCTCAGAGGCAAGGGTCACAGCCTACTGAGCCATTTTCATCATAAACCAGCAAGGGAGGTGAGGAGAAGTTATCCTCTCTCACACAGTCTCTGTTGGGGAGCAGGGAGCCCAGACCCACGCTCTACTCCAGTGTCCAGCCCAGGGACCCTGATAGTAGCAGCTCTTGGTAGCTGATTTTTTGGAAACAGGATGAGTACAATTTCCTGGGACACTTCTCCACAGCAGCCCCCACTTCCTCAATAACTTCTTCATCCTTACCTCAGGGCCTCCTTTCTTGTGCCTGATAAGGTTTGTATTGCTCCATTTCTCCAGCAGCATAGCTCTCTTCTACAGCTCCTGACACACACACACACACACATACCCTGAGTAAGTGGGAGGCTTTTAACTACTTTCAGGCAGCCCCTGATTTGCTTCTGTCAAGGTTCCTTCCCCACTCTGAACTCTAGGGTACAGATGTGGGGACCTGCATAAAAGACCCCCTAAGCTTAGTCTTACCATCTTAGGTTAAAAACTTCCCCAAGGTATAAACTTTGCCTTGTCCTTGAACCCTATGCTGCTACCACCAAGCGTGTTAAACAAAGAACAGGGAAAGAGCCCACTTGGAGACGTCTTTCCCCAAAATATCCCCCCAAACCCTACACCCCCTTTCCTGGAGAAGGCTTGATAAAAACCTTCACCAATTTGTACAGGTGAACACAGACCCAAACCCTTGGATCTTAAGAATAATGAAAAATCAATCAGGTTCTTAAAAGAAGAATTTTAATTAAAGAAAAGGTAAAAGAATCACCTCTGTAAAATCAGGATGGTAAATACCTTACAGGGTAATCAAATTAAAAACATAGAGAATCCCTCTAGGCAAAACCTTAAGTTACAAAAAGACACAGAAACAGGAATATACATTCCATTAAGCACAGCGTATTTTACCAGCCATTAAACAAAAGGAAATCTAACGCATTTCTAGCTAGATTACTTACTAACTTTACAGAAGTTTCTGAGACTGCATTCCTGATCTGTTCCCAGCAAAAACATCACACAGACACAGACCCTTTGTTTCCCCCCACTCCTGATTTGAAAGTATCTTGTATCCTCATTGGTCATTTTGGTCAGGTGCCAGCGAGGTTATCTTAGCTTCTTAACCCTTTACAGGTGACAAGGTTTTGCCTCTGCCCAGGAGGGATTTTTTAACACTGTTTACAAAAAGGTGGTTACCCTTCCCTTTATTTTTATGACCGCTTCAGGTGTCCCAATCATCCTAGCTGTTTCCACTGCTTTCTGGAAGAATCTTAATTGGCCCCAGGTGTCTTGATTAACCTGGAGCAACTGCCATTTGGTTACCATGGTAACAGGGATTTGTTTAGTCTGGGGCTAACATACCTGTTTCTCACTACTTTCCTATAGCCATCTGGCCTTGCCCCGTCACACCTCCTAAAATCAGACAACTGCTTCCCCACCTTGCCTGGTGCTCCTGCCGGGGCCCCGTTGGTCCAGTGGATAATCTGCCACTGAATCTACTAGAGACATTATTATGTGTCATAAAACATGCTGACATTTTTCAGTATAAAGAGTATGTACATTTAACAAATTTTGTTCTAAGAATTGTAAATTGTTTAACATTCTGCCTTTTGTTCTACCAGGTGCATGTATTTTGAATCATATTCAGAAGCCAACACACTAGCCATGGAACTTATTCCAAAAGAAAGCAGATAGATTGTTAGGTCTATTTTATAACGTTGTCTTAAATTTTCCAACATATGTCTATAATGTAGTTCATGCTTTTGCATAATGGGGCAAATGCAGTCCTGTCTCTGCAGAGGTATGCCTGGCAGCACAAGATCTTGCACATCTTGCAGTTAGCAGGATTTGGAGGAGTGCACAGAAGGTATACTTCCATATGTTGCAGAGCCCAGCTTCTTTGGGGTTGCCTTCACATCAATGCAAAGAGAGGGGGACTGGGCAGAGTAAGGATGGGAGCAGAGGCTCTGCCACTGTGTGGATCCTCTGGTTGCCACCTTTCCTTCCTGCCTGTATAGGGATGTTGAGGTTGTGGAGGACTACTTCAACCATTGTGCACCCTTCCCTTCCTAGGGGACCTAGCCTAGATACTTATTTGGGCCAATGGCAGTAAAATAATCTCTTCAGTTCTTTGAATAATTAATTGACCTTAATTCTTGTTTTGCCCTTTGTAGATATTAATCCCCTAGTTCTTGTTTCTCCCTTAATTAACTTACCTCCATGGTCAGACCAGGGGCTTATCTATATTGGGGTTTTTGCAGTGGTCTAACAATGATGGAGATGCACCAATGCATATCACTAGCATAGCATTGGTGTGCACTGCTGTAAAAAAATGACTTGCTGTGTGACGATGTTAATCATGTATATGTACATGAATCTTATGTAAAACTAGGGAGTTACTACAGTCGTTATGCTTGAAGCCCATAAATCCCTCCCATAGTGAAGCATTAACAAATTAAGTACCTGAAAGGATGATGATTTAAAAAAAAAATCCAAACAAAAATTGTGGAACTAATATAACGCCTGCTAAACTTCTCCACTAATTCACACAGCTTTTTATTATAGCTCTTCTCTCTTTGATCACTTTTGAGCTTTTCAGGTCAAAAACTGTGGTTCAGATTCCAAGAAACCCAGTTCAGACTGATGTGGCTAGTGTGCATTATGCCACCAGCACAAGCATAAAACCGGCACATCTAATCCCTGGAAGATCAACTCAGTGCAAGGGGGATTCTCTCTTAGCATTGTCACTTCTCCACAACCCTGTATTTGGTGTAGCAAGGAAAAGACTAGAGGAAATATACCTGGCTAGGACACCTCAACACCATGATAATCTCCAGCTGCAATTTCAGCCTCTTGGAGCCATTAGCAGCCAATGTAGATCAGAATAGTCCTTAGGCTGCTCTATCTGTGCACAGAACTTAGAAGAATTTAGGAGAAGAGACAGAGGGAACTATGTTTATATAGTTTTTAAAAGGATACACTCAGCAGACTTCATCACAGTTGATAAATATCTTCAAGGAGATAGTGTAAATGAAGGAAGAGGATTATTGTATTTATAGTATCAGGCAATGGTAGGACAAGGAGATATAACCTGAAACTAGGCTAGGAAGGAAAAACTTAGGTTAGAAACTAGGGAAAAGTTCTTAACAGAGCAGTTGAGCAGTTGAATGGATTAGCAACATAGGCAACTGAAATACCATCTCTGCAGATATTCAAGATCAAATAAAATAAAATATTAGTGAGAATTATTTAGTGAGAATCCCTACAAAATATTGGAGGGAGGAAGGTTAGATTAAATGACCTAAGTGATCTTTTTCTGGTCTGTCTACTTCTGTATATACAGGCACCTCCATCCATACTCAGTACTCTGACCTAGCCAGATTAGCCATGTAGAGATGAAAGGTTTGTAGCCAGTTAACAAACATTTGAGTAATCAGTCCTGTAGCCATTTCAATTTTTGTGTAAATTCTTTTGCTGCTATATTTTTTCTTTCTGCACTTTAATGCAGTGGTGTTCCTTCAAGTGCTGATCTTCCATTTGAATGTTAGTGCTTCACAAAGATGTCCCTAGTACGTGCATTTTGTGCCACATATCTGGCACATTATTCCACTGTAAAATGGTTGACTGGGTAAAAAAAGGAATAACATTCACTTTTTAAAATATGGTTTTAAAAGTTTAATAGAAATTAAATTTTTTCAGAGATAAAGAAGTGCTTCAGGAATGGAGACAGCGTGCCAAGATGATGAAGGAGAAGAAAGAAGTATTGTTCAATTATTCACCTACAAGAGCAGACATGGTATGTAATAGAGAATAGCAAGACAGCATTGGATCAGGTAAATAATCCATTGACAAGACGCTTTGAACCTTTTTCTCTGTGAACTGTATATTTAGGATAAAGGCTTCTAGTGATGATAATACAGTTAAATAGAAAAATTAATACTTTGAGAAGCTACGTGGACCTACAGCCCCCACATGAAATATCTATATTGAGCATGGATCCCATGTGAATTGATGTGGACCAATGTGCAACGGAGGAGTTGTGAGACCCTGCAAACAGTTATTCAGTATCTGTAGTAGTTCCAATATCAGGCTATTGGAGATGTTAAAACAGAAGTACTTATATTTAAATATTGGGTTTTTTTAAATTATTGAACGCCTCCAATTGGTGATATTGCCTCTGCCAGACTGAAATTGATGTGGGCTGGATCTTATGGTTACTACAGGAGTCTATAAACTCTGGCACTCTAAAAGGAGGCATCTTTTTTTAAAAAAAAGACTCAAATGTGTAAGAAAAATTGGGTTTGTGCCCATATTTGCTTTTTCTGAAGTATAAAGAAGGTCTGAAAAGTGTTTCCCAATGACACAAATAAAAAAACCAAAATTCTTGTTGTTTCTTTATAATAGAAATTCTGGCCTTGTTTAAGTATGACATTGCAAGAGAGTAGATATTGAAAGCTGAACAATCATACCTCTCAAATGCTCCCATGTGGAACTCATTGTGACCATGACACAAAATAAGGGACATAAAAAAAGTATCCATTCAGAAAACTTCAAATGCTATGGGATTCATTCTGTTAGTGTAAATAACTCTTTCTTTAATCTCAGTTTCATGATTCTTTATTTTTGATGGGAAAAAAATTTCAGCATCAAAAATCAGGGGACAACAAACTTGTGTGGAACATAGATAAGTTTTGAATTAAAACAAATGACAACTCTCAAAATGAGGTACAATTAAAAGGGAAGGAATTTAGTCAGGTTGTTTAATATGTTTTTGCTTTATTGACACCTGTCTAGCAATGTCTAATAAACATCTGGTTAAAAGGACATCTTCATTAAAGAATAAACACCCTCACTCCTTCCGAAAACATATGAGAGCTCACAATACACATCTCTGATACACCCATGAAAGCGCAGGCTTTGCTTTGCTGATATTTCTAAAATAATGTGAAAGTTTAAAAAAACCCAAACAAAATCTATTTAGGCCTTCATTGTAAGTCGTACAGAAGCAAATGAGGGCACAAGTTACTTTTTAAAACAATACTTTGTAAGTCAGGTAGTTACTAATGTCAAAGTCAGATTCAGGATTCACATAATTTGTCAGACCACTCTGTTTATTAGCAAAGCGCTTTGCCAATGCACCCAGATATGTGAGCCCCTCTCTGAGGCGCAAGCTAACTTATTTATACAGATAAGCCAAAGCCAATTTAACATAAGAGACAAAAGGAAGCAGAAACTGACAAATATACATACATATCTTATTTGCATACTAACCTTTACCAATCTCCTAGCTCAGTAGGAGCTCTAAGTTAATTAGTTTGAGGACCCATTGTCTCACACTCCTTAATGTTTCTTTTCCTGACAACTATATTTCAACAAACCCTTCAAGTAGCATTTCTTGAATGAATTATAATTTCAATATAATTCATTCTACTTTCACACTAAAATGATGGTACCACAGGATGGGAGTCAGGACCCCTGGAGCAAAATCCACTGTTTTTCAGTGATGCTCAGATTTCACCCCAGGGTTCAATTCTTAGTTCTGCCAATAACTTGCTTTGTAATCATGAGCAAGTCACTTCATTTCTCTGTGCCTCTGTTTCATCTTCCATCCTTGGTCATGTCTATTTAGATTGTAAGCTCTTGGGGGCAAAGACTGTCCTTTACTATGTGTTTGTACAGTGCTTAACACAAGAAGGCCCCAACCTCAAGGCACTAAAATAATAAATAAATAATAAAATAATTACAATTAGTAATTGTTTAATTTATAGTGTATATGTTGGGGGTGAGAGGAGTATTTGAAACATTATTCTCTATTCTGTATGTCTTTAAATTATTCACTTGTTCAGACTGATACTTCTGAAAATAAGCCAATTTATGACGTTAAATGTGTCAGTGATTCCAGGAATGTCTGCTATCATTAAACTGATAATATAGTGTGGTGTTCTTCATCAAACAAAATAATACATGGGCAACATTGAAATTGGTCAATATCCCCTGCCTCTGCGCTCTGCTGATTGCAGTTTAACTTGTGAGGAAGAGTATTACCGTCTCAGAGAGGCTGAACAGACCCTTATTAATAGCTTTTGGTTTCAGAAATGGAAAGTAAAAGTAACACTTGAAATATATAAAGGAACTTTAAGCAATTTTACAAATAAGTGAAAATTCTTGGCTCCGTGACTGGTTGAAAACAATGATGTGACAAAGCTGATACTTGTGAAAGTAGGTAAGGTCAAATTCTTCTGCCAATTTAAACACAATTCCAGCTCCAAAACTGCTCACATTGCGGCAGTAGATTTACAGCATGACTCCCATTCCATAGGTGAGACTGGGAGCACAGCAAACACAACTGCTTGCCACAGAAGACTTACTTGCAGGCTGGAAATCAATACCAAGGATCAAATCCTGGCCCCATTGAAGTCTATGGATAAACTCCCCCTGACTTCAGTGGGGCCAGGATTTCATGCCAAGGCTATAGGGTTTTCAACAGCAAGAGTAATTCCAAAGGGGCAGCATTAGCATGAGAAGAATGAGTCAGAAGGAATTTCTCTTGCTGCTGAAAGTAATGGGTATTAAAATTGTAAAGTGCATACACACTTGTTATTTAGCAATATATTTTTTCCTAATTAAAAAATGATAAGGGATATCTGGATTTCACCCATGTTGTTTATAATATCCCTCTGAGAGTAAATGCAGCATGCTTTCTCTGTGTAGGGATGTCTGTTTTAGTTAACCTGACTGGGGTATTTTTTAGAATGTGTAGCTTTGATTAAAATAGTTGAGAATTAGGTGGATCATGTGTGATGCGAGTAAATCTGACAATGTGATCTGTAGCTCACAAAAGCTTATGCTCAAATAAATTTGTTAGTCTCTAAGGTGCCACAAGTACTCCTTTTCTTTTTGCGAATACAGACTAACACGGCTGCTACTCTGAAACCTGTCAATGTGATAATAGTACAGTATCTATACTTGCCAAGGAGGGCCCCCTGTTTTTCTTGCCCATGTTCCCAAATTTTATGAATACAAAAGAGAGAATGTGTTCAGTCTGAGAGCACAGTTCTTGAATTCCACATTTTTCTGTCATTTGTAAGTAAATACTATATTTAATACTGTACATTTTAAATCCTCTGTTTAGGCATTGTTGAATATATATATGAAGCACAAGAGGGCACTGTAATACCATATATGTATTCCATAGTGGTGAGGCTGCTAAACTCTCTTGTTACTGAGTGATAGAGTAAACAGGTGTTATTAGCAATATTTAGCAAAATTCAAAGCGTATAAAAGGCTGGATGGAGAACCTTTTCATACTCATTTTTAGATCGTTTGTCTTTTACTTTGTCACATATGCAGTGTATGTCCTTATTCTATCCTATCCTGGTTTTGCAGGTAGGGTGGAAAGAGGTTTCACATTTCTTGCATATTGCAGAGAATATTACTTGCTAAGTAATGAACAAATAAAGATTTAATAATTGCGATCTGCCCAAATTAAAGTGAAGTCCTCAAATAGCCACATAGCCATTTCCTGCTACGTTGACCATTTTTTAAGATTATTTCATGTGTTTATTTATCAGCCTGTGCATGTACATATTTGTCTGTGGAAGTCTGTGAAATACTTTTCCATTATACCTTAATGATCTGTTCAACAGAAAGCTGGTGATTGTGTAGAAACTGTTTTTTACCAAACATGCTAAGGCCTTTTGGGGAGAGCCACAAGAGAGTGCGGACTCTCTAATGAAACTTTTTGTCTCCCCTTATGAACCAGTGAATGCTGTTATACATGGCATGAGGACCGATTTAAGTGACCATGGGCATTTATTTACTTTCAAATTATTCTAGCTAAAGACTAATTTAGTTGAGGTTCATCCCTTTTCACATAAGAAAACACTTGGATTAACCAAAACCTGCAGACTTTGTAAAATTTAACAGTAAGAAAAAGCATACAGTGTTGTTAATGTAAAGTATTTGCCCTACATCCTAAATATATAACTTAAGTGATGTTTGCTTGCTAAGGAAGTTTAACAGGATCCGTAATCATGAGCTTTTGCAAGGACCACAGGACGAGTCTTGTCAAGGGGGTCAGTCAGGATCAGCAAAAACTGACAAATTGTCAGGTGATTAGCAAATGCATAATAATCTGTTAACAGACAATTGACGAACAGAAAGTAAGCCAAAGTCACCAAATAAACTGATCAGAATAAATAACTTGACCATCTCTAGTTCTCAACATGTGAAATATTTTTGTGTCTTTTTAAACGCTGAGCTTTGCTGGAAAGTCATAAGCTTCATGAGCATAATGCCAGCAAAGCATTTAAGTATGGCTGGCTGGAAAACAAAAATTTCTTTTCACAAAAGATTTAAGATTACAAAATTTGTTGCAATTCTGATGTGGAAAGAAAATGAGATTTTAATTTTTTTTCCAGAGAGAGAAAGAGACAGACACCAATCTCTGCTCTTTATGATTTAGAGGAGGGACTTGAACCTGGGCCTTCCACATCCCTATTGAGTGCCATGACTGCCAAGCTGTTGGCTATCTTGGATGGGTCAGGGATGTGTGTATATGTGTGTGTCTCACCCTCACCAGACATTCCATCCTGGAACTGAGAAATCTTCTTAAAAACTAATCATTTTCATTTTGATTAAATGTCATTTGTCAATTAAACTTTTTTCAGCGAAAAATGACAATTTTTTGACCAGCTCTACTTGTAATTTCCATGAGTCCCCTGGATTGGGTTTATGGAGCTTTTAACTTTCAGTGAATCTGAAAATGGGACCACGGCAGTAACAAGCTCTACCGGT